AAACTGGCTGGAGAATTCTGGGAATTGAAGTCCACACATCTTAAAGCTGTCAAGTTCGAGAAACACTGTGCTAATGAGAAAACTGTAACCAGACTCCTGGTTTTTGGCCACTATAGAATAACATAGCTCTCCTCCAAGGAGAGATGTACCTATCCCCGTGGTTTCCCCTAACTTCCCTTATTCAAGGTAAAAAGGGAAGAAGGAAACCAAATTAAGATGATTAAAGACCTGGAGTCTAAAACATATGAAGAACGGTTGCAAGAATTGGGTATGTCTAGTCTAGTGAAAAGAAAGACTAGGGTGACATGATAGCAGTCTTCCAAAATCTAAGCAGCTGCCACAAAGAAGAGGGGGTCAAGCTATTCTCCAAACCAACTGAGGGCAGGACAAGAAGGAATGGATGGGAACTAATCAAGGAGAGAAGCAACCTAGAACTAAGGAGAAGTTTCCTGACAGTGAGAACAATCAACCAGTGGAACATCTTGCCTTTATGAGTTATGGATGTTTCATCACCGGAGGCTTTAAGAAGAGACTGGATAGCCATTTGACTGAAATGGTGTAAGGTTTCCTGCTTGAGACCTCCAAGATGCCTTCCAACTCTGACAATGACGACACCGATGATGATGACAACGATAAACAATTTCATCTTGCTAACATTTAAAACAGGGCAGCCACAGCTGTGGAGACCAATGGAATGGCTCATAGCCGCTCTAACTATGGCAAGTGTTTAGCTTGTACTCTAATCTGATTAAACAGCAAAGAATCCATACAGGAGAGAAATCCTACGGTCGTGTCCAGTATGGGATCCATTTCGGTGAAGCTTCCACCTGATCCAACACCAGAGGTATCATGCCTGAGAAAAATCTTATCAGTCCACTTTGTGTCAGAAAAGTTTTGGCCATCTCCTTCAACACCAGAAAATGGAGAACTCCCTCACAGATGACCGGATTGTGGGAAGAACTTCAGATCTTAGAACAAACCCCTTTCCATGCACTTCACACATGTAGGTTTCTCTCCATGTGGCTTTGCTGGTGGATAATGGATGATGTACCTCTGAATCCTTTGCCGCAATCTATAGTCTATCCCAGGGGTAGGCAACCTTGGCTCTTTTATGACTCGTGAACTTCAACTCCCAGAATTCCTGAGCCAGCATGGTTGGCTGAGGAACTCAACTCTGAAAAAGCACCAGCAAGTCCACACTTGAGAAGAAACTTACCAGTGCCTGGGATGAGGGAAAATTTTTAGTCTCAGCTCCCACCTGGTGACACACCAGGGAAGTCACACAGGAGACAGACTATATAGACCAGGGGTAGGCAACCTTGGCTCTTTTATGACTCGTGGACTTCAACTCCCAGAATTCCTCAGCCAACCATGCTGGCTCAGGAATTCTGGGAGTTGAAGTCCACGAGTCATAAAAGAGCCAAGGTTGCCTACCCCTGGGATAGACTATAGATTGTGGCAAAGGATTCAGAGGTACATCATCCATTATCCACCAGCAAAGCCACATGGAGAGAAACCTACATGTGTGAAGTGCATGGAAAGGGGTTTGTTCTAAGCTCTGTTTATTTGAATCCTCACCAGGCTCACACTTTGGGTATTCCCAGTTGTAGCTGGTCTTTCCACCAGTGTAGAGACTCCATGCAGGAGAGCAATCTTACAAATGTTTTGCGACAGCTCTACCCTGACAAAACACAAGAGATGACTCATTGGAGAGAAAGTGAATATGTGCAAGGATTGTGGGTTGAGCCTTGGATCTAGCTTCAGGAACATTAGGCATTCCATGGAGAAAAGATGTCAACAAAGGTTATCATGTAGGCCAGTGTTTTGATAACCCTGATAAATTTAAGATGGATGGACTTCAACTTCCAGAATTCCCTAGCCAACACACTCTTATGAGGGAATTCTGGGAGTTGAAATCTACCCACCTTAAAGTTATCAAGGTTAACTGGCCAAGGCCTAGTCTAGAACCTTACATAGAGTACTAATTGCCCATGAAAAATTGGACATCCATTGACCACCTCTGTAGAGTTACCTTCCTTCTTGATCATGTACTTCCAATGTTGGTTAGCATTGTGGCCTTCATCCATGACCTTACCATGAGGGGAAGCAGGTGGGCCTGGGATGAACAAGGCTGCTGGAATGATAGCTAATGCAGATACGTCTTTTTGAAGCTGGGAATTCAGAATGATTCCCACATTTGGCATTTCCATGAGGAAGGCGGTTTCCCCTTCATTCTTAAGTAGCAGGGATGTTTGAGGCTAGTGAAACAATTCAGGTGGGAAGGCAGACAAGGTTGCAAAACACGGGACATAAATGCAATGAAATTTCTGCAGAAATAGATGCTCTTCTTTAGTCTTTCTCTTAATATTAGAGGAATATACAATTTGCTCATCCCTTTGATTCTATCCACACACTTTGTTATAATCACATCTGCACTTCCTCCAGATAATGCCTGACAATGTTTCTCAATCTTGACTTTAAGCTGTTTGAACTTCAATTCCCAGAAATTCCCAGTCAGCATTGAGGAATTCTGGGAGTTGAAGTCCACATGGCTTAAAATTGCCATGGTTGATAAACGCTGGTCCCTGATGAACAAACTATTGTCCACACAAGCTAATATTATTCTTTCAGGTGCAGTACTAGTCAACTGCAGAAATAAATGACTAATATTTTTTCTGTGTAATATTTGAAATATATATAATTTGCCCATCTCTTTGACTCTACCCCACACACTTTGTGTCATAAATATGCACCCTGCACTTCCCCAAATGGGGAGTGACTCGTCGCTCCCATGTAACGCCGCTGCTGCGCGAGCTGCACTGGCTGCCTGTGGCCTTCAGAGTGCGCTTCAAGGTGTTGATTATCACCTTTAAAGCACGCCATGGCATCGGACCTGGTTACCTCTGAGACCGCCTTCTGCCACAGATTACCTCCCACCGGCCGATACGCTCCCACAGAGAGGGCCTCCTCAGGGTGCCGCCAACCAGACAGTGCCGGTTGGCGACCCCCAGGGGGAGAGCCTTCTCTGTCGGAGCGCCCACCCTCTGGAACGAGCTGCCCCCAGAGATCCGGGTGATTCCGGATCTCCCCTCCTTCCGCCGCGCCCTCAAGACCTGGCTGTTTCAGCGGGCAGGACTGGCCTAGGGGTAATTTTAAATTGGTTTTAATCAAATTTTAGTAGTGCGGCCGATTCGAATATTTATTTTTAATTTATCTTAGATTTGTATTTTGTGTAATTGTTTTAACTGGCTGTAAGCCGCCCTGAGTCCTCCGGGAGAAGGGCGGGGTATAAATGAAATAAATCCTAAATCCTAAATCCCTGATGATCAAAAAGCTGCCCACACAACAGCCTAGTAATTATTCTTTTAGGTACAGTGTTAGTCAAATCACTGCACATTAAATAAGGGATTAAAGTGAAAATAAGGCCCTTCAGCTTTCCGAAGCTTAAAAAGAGATTGTCAGCTTAAAACACAGTAAACTTTACCTCAGCTTGCTGAGATACTTGGGGAGGGGGGAATCCAAATGTTGGTCTCTCCACAAAAGCAAGTGATCTAATGTCTTTTTTTTCATTAAGTGAATTTTATTATATAATACAGCAGTGAGCAGGTAAAAAGTTGGCATTAAAAAACTGAGTGGCAGAAGGAAGAGCCCGTGCCCCTTAATCCCGGCCAAGTCGCATTATCATAAAAGCTGCCGTGGGGGTTTACACAGATAAAAAAATGGCCTTGATGCAGCCTAATGACGAGCTTTGACATATTCTCCTTCCCTGCTTTCTCCATGGTAATTTATTTTAAATAAAAAAAAGATTGTCATCGTTTGTGGCATCATTTTTTTCAAGAAAAAAACCTGAAGACACAAGGGGGATGTACAAGATGTTCCATCCTGTTTTTCCATATTAGCTGGTCCCTTATCAAAAGCTCCTTCAAGACTCCAGCAGGCCATAAACCACAGATCGCCACAGCAGACCGCAGGGAGACAAAAATAACACACCCAGGGTCAATGCAAAACTTGCATCCTGGTATCTGATGCAAATCCATAAACTGCAGCACCCCACAACCATGTGCGTTTTGTCGTTCTCCCCACCGTTGATAAAGGCCCTCGTGCCATCAACTTCCTTAGAAATATTGGCATCCCTGTCCCCCCCTATCCAGACTCACAAAGGACCCACTCAACGCATCAAAGGTCAACCCTAAACTAAGTTGGAAAGGCCCAGGTGTTCCTAAGTGTCTCTTTCCATTGGCAGGCGCTTCTGGGAGTTGTAGTTTTTAAGCAAAGTTTGGATGCTCGCAGTTCTGTATTCGGACACGATCAAAATAGAGGTCGGCTAAAAAGTTACCGTTGATCTTTGGTTACAACAGAATGAATTTGGAGGTGGAGATCAGGAGGACTTTCAGGTAGATCTGGATGGAGCCATTGCTCTCCACAAATTAAATATCAGGACAGGAATATTCAGATGTTCCAAAGAACACTGGACTTGATTTGTAAGGCAGGGCCCCCAACCTGGGTCTACAGGTAAAGACACCAGAGATGTGGTTGTCCCAAAGGTGCTTCTTCATCACCTGGATGACTGAGAATCTCCATAGACAAAGGGGTGGTTGCATCACATCCTGGTCTCCTGAGGGCCTCACCAGCTGATCTTGGGGATGTGGCTTAAGGCAATGCCTCCTGTCAAGAGGTGCTGGTGCTGGGGGGGAGGGGGGGAAGGTGGCTTAAAAGTGGCCTGGGATGGGGTGGGAGATAACTCTGGGCTGCTTGTGAGGGAACAGAGGCCTGGCTCCTGAAAAGAGTGGGAGGAGCAGATCCGACTTGCTTCCTTCATTGCTTGCTTGCGAGTAGCTCTGATCTACAGGCGTGGTTTTTGGCAACGGTGGATGGGCTCCCAGGATGAGGGGGTGGAGCCCCTTAAGGCACAGGTGTTTTTCCCATGGGTGATAGTGGGCGTGGCTTGTTCAAAAGCCGACGGTGGGCCCTCCCCCTTTCCCACGCCCGCAGGAGGCGTGGCCTGACCACAGCAAGGCCAGGGCCCCTCCCAGTCACCCGAAGAGCTTGATAAAGCAGGGGTGGCAATAGGGCTTCTCGTTCTGCTCCTTGAAGGTGCCTTTGTTGAGCTGCTTGAGACAGAAGGCGCAGACAAAATGCTCCGGGTGGAACTTCCGGCCCATGGCGGTAATGCAACGGCCGGTGATGGGTTTCTCGCAGCCGGAACAGAGCGAGCCGCGTTGCTTGTGGTAATGGATTTCGCAGAACGGGCGCCCGCTGTGCTCAAAGAAGCTGCCATTCATGAACGGGGTGTAGCATTCCTAGAACAGAGGAACAAACCAGGAGAGATTAAAGAAGGCCACCTAGACAGGTAGTCCTCCTCAACTTACAACCGTTCATTTAGTGACTGGAGTTAAAAGCCACGCTGAAAAAAAGGGACTTACAATCAGTCCTCGCCCTTAGGACCGTCACAGCATCCCCATGGTCACATGATCAAAATAATAATAATAGTAATAATAGTACTAGTAGCAGTAGCAGTAATAATAATAATAATAATAATAATAATAATACTACTACTAATAATAATAATTGGAAGGGACCTTGGAGGTCATCGAGTCCAACCCCCTGCTCAGGCAGGAAACCCTATACCATTTTGGACAAATGACTGTCCAGTCTCTTCTTAAAAACTTCCAGTGTTGGAGCATTCACCGCTTCTGGAGGCAGGTTGTTCCATTGGTTAATTGTTCTAACTGTCAGGAAATTTCTCCTTAGTTCTAGGTTGCTTCTCTCCTTGATTAGTTTCCATCCGTTGCTTCTTGTCCTGCCTTCAGGCACTTTGGAGAATAGCTTGACTCCCTTTTCTTTGTGGCAGCCCCTCAGATATTGGAACACTGCTATCATGTCCCCCCTCATCCTTCTCTTCGTTAAACTAGACATACCCAATTCCACCAACCATTCCTTATATCTTTTAGCCTCCAGTCCCCTAATCATCTTTGTTGCTCTTCTCTGTACTCTTTCTAGAGTCTCAACATCTTTTTTACATCGTGGTGACCAAAACTGGATGCAGTATTCCAAGTGTGGCCTTATCAAGGCATTGTAAAGTGGTATTAATATTTCACGTGAAGTATTAATTCCTGCACTCTGGGCAAAATCGCACACAATCCTGATTCAGTGCACAGGATTTTTCCTGCACACACCTCTCCCCATCTGGGTCTTGTTGGCATACAATTCATTTCCCCAGCCAGGGGAGGCTTGAAGTCTGGCCCCTCTGGCAGGTAGCAGATGGGAAAACCATGCAATCAAGCTGGGCTGGTTCACAATCCATGAGATTCAATTGTCTCCAAGCAAGGTTTGATCCGAAGTTGTTTTTAGGCTGAATTATTTTTAGAAGATGAGAAATGCTGGAATTTGTCAAGAATCCCTGGATCCTGCCACGTAGACCCATATGAAACTCCTTATTTGTTTTTAACTTAATTTTTAACTCCAAGATTACTGCAGATGGGGAGTGCAGCCAAGAAATTAAAAGACGCTTGCTCCTGGGGAGGAAAGCTATGGCTAGACAGCATACTAAAAAGCAGAGACATCACTCTGCCAACAAAAGTGTGTATAGTCAAGGCCATGGTTTTCCCAGTGGCAATGTATGGCTGTGAAAGTTGGACCATAAGAAAGGCTGAGCGCCAAAGAATTGAGGCCTTTGAACTACGGTGCTGGAGAAGACTCCTGCGAGTCCCCTGGACTGCAAGGTGATCAAACCGGTCAGTCCTAGAAGAGATCAACCCAGACTGCTCTTTAGAAGGCCAGATCCTGAAGTTGAAACTCAAATACTTTGGCCACCTAATGAGAAGGAAGGACTCCCTGGAGAAGGGCCTAATGCTGGGAAAGATTGAGGGCAAGAGAAGAAGGGGACGACAGAGAATGAGGTGGCTGGATGGAGTCACTGAATTTATTTATTTATTTATTAAATTTATATCCCGCCCTTCTCCTTGCGGACTCAGGGCGGCTAACAATCAGGTAAAAATACACAAATGACATCACAAATTTAAAATTAATTAAAAAGGAAATATTTAAATTTAATCTAATTAAAATGTAATTAAAACCCCTCTAAAAGTTTCCCCTAGGCCAGTCCCGCAAGCTGGAATAACCATGTCTTAAGGGCGCGGCGGAAGGAAGGGAGATCAGGGATCACCCTGATCTCTGG